TTCGAAACTGTCCAAGCTCCACTAACTGCCAAATAAGGGGTATGCGGTCACGCCTGCTATCTTTTAATCCAGTGTTCTTGGCTTGTTTTTTGCAGAATAAAGCAAAAACTAAATTGTCGATTCGTGAAACGAACGAAAGTCGATTCGTGAAACGAAAAGTATATCATAAAGGTATCCGTAAGGTAATCTAGAACTGATTAAAAAAACAATCAAGCCGATTGTAGCGTCCAGGTTGATCTTGGGTGTCAAAGTGAGGAAGATGTATAAGAGAGAAAACAGGAGAAAATGGAAGGAAGAACGAATGAGGAAAGACGTTCCGGTCCATTAAGTCATATAAGTCTTAGCTAAAAAATCAGTTTTGTTCATCCAGACTCGTTATGTTTAACTGCTTGAAACGTTTCATTTTAGCCACAAAACGGGAAGCGAGCTTTTGGCGGAAGATGTGAAAATTTGAGTTAAAAAATCTCGAGATTTGGCCTTAAAGATGGAACATACCGTAATATCGTAATATCTCGGATAGGATTTCATTCGTTGACCACTTGGAGTTTTCAGAACTAATCGATAAACGCAATTTGGATGAAGACCACGTATACGATATTCACCACGTTCATCTGTCGTATCTTCTTCCTGCAACTGGCTGCACTGCTCCGACACTGCTTCCACAACCATCGAAGATACCGGCTGTCCAGCAGGATGTGAAACTTTGCCAAAAACACTGGAAATAGTTGCAAAACTGTAGGAAAATAATGAAATGAATGAAGGAACAAGGACAGAAGTAACAAACGAGATATGGCAATGCCACAGGTCGCATGCCCCTTGTGGTAGTCGATGCGGATGTGTAGATTATTGAATCTAATCTAGAAATTAGCCCATTACAAAAATTCATATCTATTCATTTCACTTTACCCCCAAACATGTGAACAGTACAATGGTCGTACTAACGAAGAGGTCTAGTAGTGATAATAATCTGAAACATTGGTGATGCACACCGGGCGAGCCCGTGTGACCATGCGTTTATACAGTAATTCGTGCTGTTGTAAGATCGCTTGGAGTTCCAGCAGCTATTTATGGCATACTGGTCCTCGAAATTCAAGAAGTTAATTGAGCAACCACATGTTACTTCGTCAGGGATCATCCCCTCAAAATTTCACCTTTCTGTCTTCTCTGGTCTCCGAATTAGTGATTCTCCTGCCAAAAAATTCCACGGGGTAGTGCCTGAGAACCGTGCTCACTTTGAAGCTGAATCTGAACTCTTTGAGTTCTATGCGGACGGGCAACACAACCTCAAAATTTCAGCTTTCTAATTTTTCTGGTTCCCGAGTTGGTGTTCTCCCGCCAAAACTGCCACGCGCTCGTACGCGGGGCCCAGATATGCGTGAGAGTTGGGACTGCGGTCCTGAGGCAGCACTTGGCCGGAGAACCCACTGGCAAAATTTTGGCGTCAGAGCTTGTTTGGTTGCCGAGTTGAAATATCCGGAGAGACACACATACACACACACACACACACACACACACAAACACGCACACCGGGGTCATCACAACATGCTTTTTTTGTATTTGCATAAATGCAAAAAAGTATAATTTAATGCATGCCAATAAAAGGCTGCAATGCTAATTTATCGGCAAGAATTTGTAAAGAAAATCGAAAATAATATATGTGAAGGAATTACTTTATCATTTTGTGATGAAAACTAAGAGACAGTTGATCAAACTGAATAATACCGGATAA